TTGAAACTTAAAATAGATATGTAAACATCAAAGCTTGTTTTCAATTTTGTCGTTAAAAATAAATATACAGGCATATGATTTTTGAGCTCACAAATATAATAAAATTGAATAGAATCTTATTATAAAGAATTAATCTATGAAACTTTATACCTATATGTTTGTATTTCAAGCTCTCAAATAAAAGTATCATAAAAAAGATTATTCGATTACTCGCTTAATCGAAGCTTTCAAAAAATCGGTGAATTGATATCTCTACTTCCTAATTGTTAAAATAATTCATTGTTTTCATTTTGTTTTAAATTTAGTACAGAATGATATATTTTTGATCTGACTGGTTTAATCCCATCTATAAAAATTCTATTCTAATTTTGTTTACAAATCTACTTTTAGTACTTTTCAAAATATGTTTAACATCTATTAAATAACAACTTGATAAGTGTACTTATTTCGTGCATGCGATTATATAGTATCATATGTTTATAACGGTCGAAATGTTAAAATATTTGACACCATAATCACATCAACTATTATGACATTCACCATTTTCACTTCCACTATTTCGTACTACCTATTTTCGAAATATTTGTAGATTTTTTTCTTGAAATTGGCTTGATTTGTCACTTATAAAAAAATGAAGCTCTGAAATCTTTAAAAGATCTGATGTAGTTTTTTTCAGTTCGTTTCTTATACATGGATCAAAAGATATCAGAACTCAATATTATATTTTGATATAAATAATTATTGCATTTTTAATATGAGTTGAATTGAAATTTCTAAGTTAAGGAATTTATATTTAAAGACAGACCTACTTTAACTTATTTAATTTTAAGATCTTTACTATTCAAAGAACAACGAACATCATATTCGAGATAAGAAATATTGCGGTCACCTATGAAGCAAAAAATTTTTGGCTCAAAATTATTGAACGTGATCAGAATAGAAAGAGATATCTTACAAAGGGTATAATATGTTCATCATTTTTCCCGTAATATCATTTAATGTAGAATATTGAAGGATTTGGGAGCATAAGAATGATTTTGCTATCCATCAGCAGTGTAATATTCTGATTCAAAGAACAATTTATTATTTATATTACTTATTTAGATATTTTTAATATGAACACAAGGTTCTCTCAGTTAAGAATGATTTTTCCAGGAATAGTTTCCATACTACGTATTTAGTCATTTCTATTCTCTAATTTACTCTCATCTCATTGAAAAGAAAAAGATTTGTAAGTCCAACAGCGGCAAGCAATCCAAAAATTGATATGAGCCTTTTTCATATTTAGATAATTTTTTATTTAAACATTATTCAATAAATGCCATAATTTAGTTTTCATAAATCACTTAACAGTTCATAGTCAATTTTTTTAATAAAACTTAAAGCAATATTCAAAAGAAATGACAATGATTACAAAGAAAAATGTGGAACTTTAAATAGCTAAATATATTTAACTTTAGTAATATTTAATAAAGGAACTTTAATTTTATTTCTAGTGCAAATAGCATATAGATATGCATACATTTATATTTCCTTTAGATCATCAACCAAATTTAATAATAATAATATCAATTCTTCTATGTTGTTTCATACATATTATTGTTTTTAAATCCTTTTAAAAATTGTATGTTGAAATATCTACAAGTGTTAGTTCGAGCTGACTACAATTACTAATTTTTTTTCTTTTATTTATTTATTTATTTATTTTATTGTTCATACTCATTCTAAATTACATAACTAAAAACTTATATTGCTACATGTAATCATACAATACCAATTACTACAGAAGATTTTGGGTTTCATTGAAAGAAATCTAACAAGTGAAACAAATGAAAGCGAACTTGCAAATTAAAATAAATAGTCTCTTTTGTATTAATTTATTTACCGTCGCTTGAATGTACGGAGAAAATTATTATCACTTAGTGGTTCAAAGTGACCTTAAAAATGGACTCGAAACAAAGTCTTTGTAATAAAATCAAATGTCATGTAATCCTTATGTTGCTCCCAAATCCGAAAAGAGATATCGTCCCTCTACATTGATGTATTCTTGTTTATTATCATCATTGTTTATTACAGCATTTTGTGCGATGAAAAAATTCCGATGAGCTCTTGAGCTTTGCTACTTTGTTTACGTAACGTTAAAATTACACGAAATGATTTATGCTTGCATAAAAAAATATAAGGGCAACGGCGGGGTGGGCGCGTAAAGTTAATTTAGAGTAAAAAAATTTATATTCATAAAGATTCTCGGAAAATGATGAGCTATAAAAATGTTAATGCTTGTTTTCAAGAGTATGAAGCATAAATTTTGAAAGAAAAATAATTTACAGCTCTTATGGCTCTTATGGCATTAGTGCTTGAAAAATCTTACCTTCCTATATCTTTTATTAAATCATTATCAAAATCAATTAAGAATTTAGATAGTTCTCGAATGTTGCACTGGAAAAGTGCTAATTCATAAAATATAAAAGTCATTAAAAATATAAACATTCAAAGTAAATATAATATACAATACAATCTGTTTCAGAAATAATAACAATAATTTTCATAAAATATTATATACATTATCCAATTTATAATTTAATATTTTATTTCCTTTTATTAAGACAATTGATATTTTCTTGGAGCTGCACATTGGGGAATTCGTGGACAAATTATGAATTTCCTTTTAGGAAGTTATTGAAGACTGTATGAAGCATTTTTTGACATCAATTTGTTTTTCAAATCTGAACGACAGTTCATGAGATCCTTAGTTTGGTCCACTTCCCTATAGAAGAACAAAATCCGCTGTCAGCTTCGAACATTTTTCAGTACTTCAATTTTTTCCACATGTTAAACTTTATAGCAGTGATCAATTTAATTCACTTCTTAATTGTAACGACACAAAAGAACCACATCCATTTTTATTGGACATACAATGTTGAAGTTTTCTTCTCTGAGAATATTCTACACCAGAACCGTCCTTGCACATTTATCCGCAACATTAAACAAAATATTTGATGCAATTTTAATCAAAATCCGTTTTCTACTTTTTGTAATCCATTAAATATTTTTTATGGAAGCTTACAGAGTTATACTTGATGAGTTTTGGAGCATTCAAACGTGTGAAATAAAATCTCTATCTAAATCAATCTTATGTGTTATGTAAATATGAAATTTGATTTATAATTTAAGTAGACACATAAGCTATTGAAATTTTGGCCAAAAAATTTATAGTTTTTCTAATTCTTAGGCTTAACTCTAAAAGATAAAATTGTTTCCTATTTAAATGAAAACATGCCATTTAAATAGCTAGCTAAAGCATATCAGTAAACTGATTAGTTTCAAATACAATATTCAGTGCAAGTAAAAAGGAATTGAATTAAAATTTAAATATTTAAAAAACCAATTACAATTTGAATAATCCAAAAGGATTTGGGTCATACAAGCTGTATACGTGCTTTTTGCATCGTTGAAATTTTCAACATGTATTATTAGGTGAAATAAAAATATATTATACTCAGCTCTAAATTAAATTTGTAGCCGAATATTGGATTTACTACAGAGATAATTAATGAACATTCTGAAAGAGATAAATTTCATAAATTATTTTTTCTTACGAAAATATCTAAAATGTTGACTTATGCTGTCTTTTTGTGAAACTCACAATTTCAGCTCGCAATTTTAAAAGCGGAAACATCTTTTTAATATTAAAAGAAAACTAGTTTTTTCATTAATTAAAATATTTAACATCCTAAATAATTCGTTTTCGATTGATTTTACATATGTAAAAGAAAAAAACAAACTTTATATATTTTGGAATTTTCTAAAATTTTCTCAGCTCCATTTTGTTTTGTAAACTTAACAGTTGCTAGCTATCTAGTTGTGAAACGAATGTTTTAAGCCCAAAATCTCAGCTAAAAACTGTTTTCAAATATAGAGAAAAGAAAAAAAAAGAATTCACAGATACCTAGATACTCATAAAAATTGTTATATTTATTTATTAAAATTTCTTAGTAAGTAAAATTGAAAAATTCCTTGTGATGAAATAAAACATCTTACAGTAACTAACAGGAAGAGTCGAAATGGATAATTTTCTGTTGTTGCTACTTTGCTCACAGATATTCTTCTATAAATTTGTCAATTAAAATAAGAATGAATTTCCATCTCAATTATTTATTTACCCTCCATGCAGATATGCAAGGGTTGTTTTCACAATTGAAAAAAACTACAGAGCTAAACTTGGTCTTCGTTGAAATTCAAGGAATGGGATTTTCCTCCATTTTTTAACAGCAGGATGTTGCAAATGATCAATAAGACTGAAAAAATTGCTTTACTTTAACTTTTAGCACATTCAAAAAAGATTTAATTTTGCGTTTACTCATACAAAATCAGAACGAAAGAAGTAAGAAGTTAGTGTTTTGGGAACACTAATGGTGAGAAAAAGTGGTTGTTCAATGAAGTTCTCAGAGAATAATCTTAATAATCATAGTAATCGTCTTGGTAATCGTAATATGTATGCAACAATAGCTTATGCAGGGCAACAGCCTTGGCTGGTGAATGGAACCATTCGTGATAATATTCTCTTTGGTGAATCATACCGTCCAAAACGCTACGAAGAGGTAATTGAATCATGTGCTTTGAAATCTGACATCGAGATAATGTCCAACGGGGATTTAACACAAGTCGGTGAGAGGGGAATGACTTTATCTGGTGGACAAAAGATGAGAAAATGCATTGCTCGAGCTTTTTATTCTTCAGCAAATGTGATCATTTTGGTTTGTATGTTTAACGATATATAAACAAATAAATATTCATTGAACTTTGTTTGCAGGATGATGTATTATCATCGCTCGATAATCAAGTCGTTTCATGGATAATAGAGAAATGCCTAAAGCTGAATCTGGCCAAATACAAACGGACAATTATACTCGTGACTCAGAAAACTCAACTAGTGTATAATGCCGATTATGTGAGTCCAGAATTATTGAATTTTTTCTAAGAGTCACTCCGAAAATCGAACTTAGATTTGCCAATTATTGACTCGAATTAAAATTTTCAACATAAAATTTGTTTTAACTTTGACTTTAAGCAACAATATGAACTAATTAAGTTTATCGGCAATTAATTCTATTTGAAAGCTGATTGCAATAGAAAAATTGAAAATTCGAGTAAGCTGGGTCATGAATCAAGTCAAAGAAAGGGATCCGGCAATAATTCGTGAATGGGATTTGGCGATTGCCAAGGAGAATGCCAAAGAAAGTCAATTAAGGTAATGATTTAATATGATTAAATATTGTTGTGGAAAGCTTTTACCGTCCATAAATAAAAGATTATTATTAAACATTATATTTACTTTTGCACAATCAATAAATTATGCTTGAAATTTCCACAGTCCAATAGGACGAAGTGCAAGAGAACGATGGAAACTATTCAAAAACATTTCACGAATTGGTTTATTGCAACAACGACCCTCACCAGAGAGAGATAATTTGTCTACGGTAAGTAGCTTTTAATTGATATTTTATGGTTTTCTCTCGACTTCTGGACCATCATTTTAAATTCACTTAACACTCATTTAATCATTAATCACATGTCGTGACTTCTATCGATCTCGAAAAAAAAAATTCAGAAAAAATGATTTAGTTAAATTTACTTTTACTCAGAATCTTTCTTCATTAAATGTTTTTTTAAGTTTCTCCATAAATTTCTTCATTCACGTTGTTTTTTAACCAGCGAATAAATCTTGGCGACACCAGGTTCATAAATAAACGATAAACAGAAACGAATTACATTGCTTTACTCCTAAATCATCTCCAAAATTATAAACGGCACTTTAATCTTTCTCATCCATTGCCTTGGAATCGTTTTCAGAATAATTCGATTTACAACACGCCATTCAAAAGGACATCAAGTATCTCGTTTGGATCTCGTTTATGGTCGGATTTACCATTACCCATTGATGAGTGTAATGATAACGATTTTGACTTTAACCAAATGCCAGAAGTACGCAAAAAGCCTAACAGTTTTCGAGTTGTTTCACTTCAACCAAGAGCAGTGTCAGCAAAAACTAAGGAACCGTTAACACGGAACATTTCATCTCCAGTTCAATTTAATCCAAATGCAGTTACTGCATCAGACTACTTAAAGTCAAGAGATATTGATTGTGCTTCAGAATTATCTCTTAATAAGAGCATCGACAGAAAAATAAGTTTCAGAAAATTTCTTCGTCGAATGTCGTCAAGGCGCAGAAAATCTCAAACAGATAATTCGATAATTGATCATGAGAAAAGGAAATCAGACAAAACACTCTCAATAAGGTTTAGTTTTATTATAAGATAACATTAAAAGCTTTTGATCTATTTAATCTTTTAATTACGAGTAGTAGCATAACCGAAACTGAAGAAACCATAAATAACTCCGTCGACGTTGACGATGACACCATCACCAAACGTGATGAACATGAACGAAGTTGCAGTATGGGAATTGAAGAAGAAATGGAAGACGATGAAAGCGTTAGTGAGTTGATTTGATGAGAAGATTTTTCATTACCGAAATGTTTATCAAATGATTCGTGACACTTATCAACTCGTGGAACGCGTCATAAGCAGAATGTGAATGTGTTCAAGCTGTTATTATCCAAAATCTTCAGATATTTCGATATATGTAAAAACATTTCGACTTGATTGCTTATTTGCTTTCAATGGCTTTCTTCCATCTCTTATTGTTTCTTCATGTTTTTTTCCTATTTTGCTTGCAGACCTTGAGGATGAATCTGCACTCAATCGATTAAAGTATGACGAAAAGCGAAGATATGGCAAAATTCCAGCGAGGGTTTATTTATTATATATAAGAACGTGTGGGTTTTAAGATTTCTTTTTCATTTTTTTCATGTAGAAAACTTTGTAGTTTCGCCTAAATAAGCTTATTTAAAATTCTTAAACGATAGCTGAGTTTCGGGTTTAATTTTGTCTTACATTCAGTGATTGCATGATGAATAACAATAATCAGGATTTGTCTTCTAAAGCTTATAATTTTTTTTCCATCTAGTATTTAATTATAATTAGGTAGTTATGAAACCTACTCTTAGGTTTTGCTCAAAATTTATATTTAATGGATTTCTAACATGAAATTAATGTTTTCGAAATTTTCATCTTTATAAATTGACACAATCTACACTGCAATCTCTCAAAAAGCGGAAATACTGCAATGAATTATGAAATTCTTATCTTAAAAATCGAAGAAATTTTTAGGAAGGAAAATGTTGGTAAAACGTGATATCATTAATTATTATTAAGCTCCCTGTGTTGCTATGAAAAGGGTATTAATGTTTCATAAGTTTTGACTTAAAAGAAGAGAAAAAAATTCTCGTCTTTTTGTTTCGTTCATTGTAGAAGAATGAACTGAAACTCTCCATTCAGCACTTTGTATGTTAATGAGATTAAGTACGAAAAATTTACACTTCCTAGGAGAATGAAATTTTATGCAAATTCAAACCCTTCTATCTATAAGTGTGAGAAAATGGAAACATTCGAAATTTCTCTTTCAACAACTTTAATTGCATTGAAGGGGATGTAAAAGTTTACAACTACTCAGAAGAACTTGAAGTCGTCACTTTCTTGTCACAAAATAAAGAAACAATGTTAAATGATTCTCTTTTATTACGTGTCTTGTAAAAGCTAAGAGTAACACTTAAGCTTATCTCATTCACTTAATTCTACATTTTGTGAGCTTTGAAACGACTGTTCTTCTGTCAGATATTTATTTCAAGCATTTTTTAAAAAGAGGTTTTTTCTTTAAAGAAAATCCAACAGAAAAGAAGCTACAAAGTAAATAAAATGCTTATCCATATAAATAGATACCTAACATAACGACAATATAACCGCAAGAATAAAATAAATAAAAAATAAATTACGTGGCATAATTTGTCCCACCTTCAAAAGTGATCTGAATGATAACCACTTTTCACAAAATTTGTACTTTTTTGTGCAAAAAAACCACAAAATTATTAAACTTAATTTAAGCAAAAACCTTTGACGAAGCTATTATTTAAAAAAACTACTAGACAACTAAACAAACGTTTGAATTCATCATTGATAATCTTTTATATTTTGTATTCCTATTTCTTTAAAAGTGAAAACAGCGAATTCACAAATTAAAAAAAAAATTACTTAGATATGTATTTCTGAATAAATAAACCCCAGATCGTAAATTAAATTCTACCGAGGTGTTCCTTTTTAATAGCAGAAATTATCTAAACATTGAGTTTTCTTCTTCCACTTAATTTTGCAAAAGAGCTTTTCCGTCATATTCAAGGAATTTTGTTACCTAGAATTTCATTAAATATACCTTCAAAATAAAGTACGAAGTAATTATTTTGGAGTTAATTAAACCATTCAAGTCTAAACAGAACCAACACGTACAAAGAAAGCTTTTTTCCAGTTTCTCGTCAACTTCGACGAACACGTATGAGTCACATACCCGATTTTCACTGATAACAACATTGTTTTCTCAAACAAATTTTGCTACTTACTTAGACACTTCACCTTTTGAATACAAGCTCAGGTGAAAGAAAACGCTTTTACAACGCCTATTTAAAGGTGTTGTGTGTAAATATTTGAAAATTGAATTTTGAAAATGTGTTTTCTGTATAAACTTTATTAATGTTAAACTCAATGTTAATGTCTACGACTGATAATGAAAACGTATACGTATATCTACCGACTAAAACTGTAGGAAAAAAATTTTGCAATCGAATTTCATACTGAAATGTATTGTAAAATTATTTTTCTGCTTTAGTCTGTTTTAAGTTCTGTTATCAGTAAGAGCGTAGATACTTATTAATTTTCATAAAATTTTTATACTTTTTGTGTGTTTTTTTTAATAAAGATTTTCATATTTTAAAGCATATCTTGCCAGTTTTATTTACAAGAAATGGCTTGTTTCGGGAGACTGTTCCTTCGTGATATTCGTTCGTATGATTTATCGACCGTACCATCAAACATTGATGAGCACGTTTATAAACATGTCAGTTCTTAGAAAGTTTTTTTTTTCTATTTAACATCTCTTTAACATAAAATAAATAAACACCCCACTAAGCAGCTTACATCCATCCTAATACCTAAAGAAGTTTAAATGATTTGCTGAAAATTGTTTGCGTTGAATTTGTTGCCTTAAGACTTTCTTTCGACTTAAATCAACAAAATTAATTTTAATGTCCTAATAAAATTTAAGACTTAAAATTACACGATCGTTAGCAATTTAACATCAATTTTTGTTTGGAAATTTTCATTGTATAATCTCATCTTCCTATAAGTTTATGAAGCAGGAATTTTTAAATCTTTAAAGAATTCTTTCAAACAACCCTCACTATGCCGTTAAAATCTTGTTTATTATTCGGTTATTGTAGTGCACTGAACTAATAAATCTTTTCCATGTGTAATTGTATTGTAGCCCATGAGTTAATGATGATTTTTGTTTTGTGCTAAATATCTGATTGTAGAGATACCGAGATTGCAATGAAGCCGCGATATCTTGGGATCAAAATAAAAGCGACAATTTTGATGTACAAACAAAACAAGAACGCAGTGAATCTGGCTTTGATTCAATAAATGATGGATTATCTATCAATAATACTAATGATTTTAATCACATTCAGTTGAATATTCCTCTTCCACCTACTCGCAAACCTCCCGAGGCGCCAATTGCATCCGCAGATTTCTCTCCACAACAATCTCCCGTTCCGATAAGAAAATTCCATAGGCAAACCATTCCCGACATCAATTTTATTGAATCGACTCCCTCTCCTATACTCAAGGGAAATCATAACGAGACTCAATTCTTAATTGAAAGCAACGAAAGCAATGACATCAGAAATCGTGAGAGTGAAATTAAAATTGACGAATTACATGTTGAGCCTTCAAGTTTAAACATGAGAAAGGAAGGAATAATTGCTGAAAGAATTAATGTTGGCGAGATGGAAGAATTTCAAATAAAAATTTATCCAAAAGATCGAAAGTAAGTTTTGATATTAGTTATGGATTACAAGAAGAAACATTTATATGTAAATGAAGATTTCTTTTCAATTTTATTTGACAGTGCCGTGAAAATGATAACATCTGCTATTATTTCGAATGATTTCCTATGCAATATCCTCGATAATGACTCTATAAAAACAGTCGTTGGTGCTATGGTGACCGAAAGCTTTAGTGTGAACAGCTTCATCATCAACGAAGGTGATTCGGGAAATTTTCTTTACGTTTCCTCCGAGGGAATATTTGAGGTAATCAAAGCTGGCAATTCTATTAAATCATTTGGAGCAGGAGTTGTGTAAGTTTTGCTTTCGCTGTTTTCTTCATATCTAACTTATAAGTGGATTGGAAAAGTTTTGCTTCTTTTCTTTTACTGCCGTTTGATTAATGTTTACCAATTTCTGTCTTTCTTTTCCATTTCCTGTTGTCCGCATATATATCACATACATACCAGTTTTGGAGAGCTTTCCATATTGTATAAGGCGAAAAGATTTGCTTCGATTAAAGGTAAATTGCCAAACTTATTGATTCTTTCTCTCTAGACCATCACGCACCACACTTCTGTGGCAGTAATTAATTAATTAATTTATTTATTTATATATTTTCTTTTTTCTCACCAACAGCACTTACCAACTGCAAAGTTTTCTCACTCGAAAGAAAAGTTTTCCAAAAAATTATGATGAGTTGTGGACGGCGAGAACGTGAAGAAAATATTAAATTTTTGTCATCGGTTTCAGTTCTTAAAGATTTGCCGCTGGTGATACTTAATAAGATTTCCGATCTTTTAAAGCGTGAATATTTTCCCGCTGGGTCGACTATTATTCGCCAAGGTGACCCTGGTGACAAATTTTATATAATTCGTGGTGGAAGTGTTAATGTAATTAAAAGCAATGAGAACGGTCAACGGCTTGTGGGAATTCTGAAGAAAGGAGCTTATTTTGGTGAACAAGCTTTGATACATCAAGACAAAAGACTGGCAAGTATAATTGCTAATCAACCTGGCACAGATTGTTTGACCCTTGATAGAAAGTAAGAAGGGAAATAAGGTTTAAATTTGACCCATATATGTCTATCAAAATCTTTTTCGCTTTCAGAGCTTTTGATGCTCATCTTGGTAGTCTTGAAGTGATTCGCAACACGAAAATTGCCGATAAAACCTTTTCACGTGACTCTAAAGCATCCACTGTATCAAAACAAGACTTTGGTCACGTTCAACTGAATGAACTAAAGCTTATTGGAACACTGGGTGTGGGCGGATTTGGACGTGTCGAACTAGTTCGGTATAAAAATAAAGTGACTTTTGCCCTAAAGTGTCTTAAAAAGATTGAAATGCTTCAACAACAGCAACAACAACACGCTTACAATGAAAAAGAAATTTTATTCGCTTGCGACAGTCCATTTATCGTTCGGTAATAAACGTTTAATTTTATTATATTTGAAAAGGAAACTCCCGCATGCTTTTATAAGCACTTTTAGCGGATATCTAAACATTCATCCCTCATTCATCATTTGACGACATAATTTATCAGCACATCTCAATGTATTGCCACATAAAAGAACGATCTCCATTAAATCATAAATTTCAATGACTTCCATTCTTTTGACATAGAACGACAAAGCATTAATTTTCATCGGGTTATCGACAATTACATATTAGAATCTTGAATCCTTTTTTATTATATATTTGACGTGAACTTTATTTATTGCATCCTCTTCTTACTTAAAAAATCATAAATCAGGTTATACAAAACATTCAAGGACAGAAAGTTCTTATATTACTTGATGGAGCCCTGTCTAGGCGGAGACGTATGGACTGTCCTACAAAAATATAAATATTTCGATGAGAGAACATCAAAATTTATGGCTGCCTGCGTAGTTTTGGCTTTGGAGTATCTCCATGGAAGACGAATTATTTATCGTGATTTGAAGCCTGAAAACCTTATGCTTGATTCGAGCGGATACATCAAACTGGTATGTTGTTGATTTATTATTCATTTACTCATATTTCATCAATATTTAATAATGATGGAGTAACTACCGTTAACCTCGATATTTTCTCACTCTATCTTTCTCTCTTTTTCTTTCTAATTGAATAAAACCATGCATGTTAAATAATTTAAGCCATAAACTTGCTCTCTATAAAGTTTTTTTTTGTCATGAAGGTTGATTTTGGTTTTGCAAAATTTATCAAACCGGGAAACAAAACATGGACATTTGCCGGAACGCCGGAAGTAAAGTAAATTTAAAGTTGTTAAAAATTTATTTAGATAGTTGATTTTTTTTAGTATGTTGCACCAGAAATTATTCTCAACAAAGGCCATGATCAGAGTGTCGATTATTGGAGTTTAGGTATGTTACGAACGATGAGAATTGAATGATGATACTTAGCATAAATAATTTTTGGAGATCCTTTCTCGTTTACAGGTATTTTAATTCATGAATTGTTAATTGGAAAACCACCATTTCGTGGAAAAAATCAAATGCAAACTTACAACCAAATCTTACGCGGTATTGATTGTATTCAATTATCACAAAGAATTCCTCGAAAAGCTCAAATAATAATAAAACGTTTATGTCGTCAAGTTGGGACAGAACGTTTAGGTTTACAAAAGAATGGCATTCAAGACATTAAACAACACCAATGGTTCATTGATTTTGAGTGGGAGGATGTAGAAAAGCGTAAAACGCCAGCACCATTAATTCAGCCTGTTAAAAGTAATTCGGATCTATCAAATTTTGAAGAATATCCTAAAGATAGAGATGAAACGCCAGATGAAATTTCTGGTTGGGATAAAAATTTTTGAAATAGTTCACTTGATTTAAAGAAAATATTAATTTATTGTTGCTGTGATTTGCATTTAATCCATTATAATATTATACTTATAATATCTTTGTTTAATTATTAATTTAATTCTACGAACAATTGTAACGTAAATTATTCACGGTTGAAGGATATTTCGTTATACTTTATGTATGTATAATTAAGAAGTAAATAAAAACACCTTTCTATGATAAACTTATTACAATACTTGAATGTCATATCTACTTATTGCAAATAAAAATTACTTATTTGAAGAATTTGAATGAATAAGTTACCTAAAAATTTCCACCACAAACCGCAAAAATCTCAAATATTGTACAAAGTCACGTCAAAACAATTAAGTTTGTTAAATACCTACATAAACATGTATGTACATTCAGTGGAATTTGTCACTTAACGTATTATTTATTTCACGTCGTTATTTTATTACACTACACTTTAAAATTTGATGGATCATAACATTTTCATTGCTGACTTTTGGTTTGTATATGATTTTAAATTGGAGTAGGCTTATGCAATGTGCTTTTGACGTATCAAAATTAGAATTTTTTAGGCTGTCCTTGATTACCTAGTTGTTTATGAAGTTATCTATTTTTTTTTTAAATGCAATAAGTATCTACAATTTTTCAAAGGAAAGTATCGTGAAGTTTTTTAAAATGTCTATAACCATAAATTAAATAAATTAAATAATTCAACAATAATTCTCCAAGACAGGATGTCAAAATTTATTTCTAAAGCGGTAGTAAATGCGGTGAATTAGAATGATGGGTTTCCTCTAAGTTTTATGTTTAAGTGCAAAGGACACTTATGTTGATATGTATATCAGATTTTGAATGAATATTACATTAGCGAAAATAAACTGTTAGGTAGTTTAATAAAATTACTTCTACAAGCTGACATTGTTTTGACAGAAATAATATTTAAATTTCATGTTTATTAAATAAAAATACAGAAATAATGCAGCGCTAATAATGTATGAGAAAGACAAAAATTTGATGCTATGTCTAATAAAATACCAATCTTTTTTAATAATTTATTCTCCCCCGCTCGAGGCTTCACTTGAAACTTGAGGAAACCTTTGCAAAAAGAGAAATCGAGAATGAAAAACAGCGCATTTCACTCCTGGAAAAAATAACACAGCACATCATATAATTTTTCTGTGAAAACAAAACAAAATTATCGAGATTGATTACATTTCACCTACATCGAGTTTATTCGGAGTTCGAATTACATTTCTGTTTAAATTCACAATGATCTTCTTTTATTTTAAGAGAAGGAGAAAAGAAAACTTGGATATTAAATGCGTGAATCGACATTGTTCTTGTTTTCATCGAAGAGGTACACATGTAAAAAGCATAAACGGCATGAAAGTAAAGGAATGTTGATACATCAAATATGCTTATGATACACCTATGAGCTATAAAATAAATTCGAACAAGCATATAACAAGAATCACCACCCATGGTGATAAGGGAGTAAGAAAGCAAAAAAAAACAACAGTAAGGCAGACAGTTTCCTTTTAGTAACTCAATTATTGTCTCTGAAGATTTTTTCTTTATTCTATAATTGATAATTTCAGAATTTGTAGCGATGAAACAAATGGAGAAGAAGAAGTTCAAAGATTTTTCTAATGTGTTTCATCTAGAGGAATTACGTTAATAAATAGCAATTTACCAAAAAAAGCGAATGTTGTGTGTTCGCTTGAAACGAAATATCTAACAGAAAATGAATAGAAAAAGGCGAAAGCTTTCACTTTACATTATTTTCAAAAGCCATTATTTCCTCATTAGATGCCTTGAGAGTTACGACGCTAATATATAATATTTCGCCGTCTTGAAAATATGGCTACAATACGATTTTTGCTTTTATAAATTTATGCAATAATTTAGCGATTATATGAAACTCGAAACACTTGTATAGCTTTAGACTCTAATTTAAAAAGGCGATTTTGATTAAAATATTTCGTGTAACTATATATTTAATTATGCCATTAAGTTAATCATAATCATGTATTTTTAAGCCTTGTTAAGCAGTCTCTGTATTATTAGGACTTAAACTACGTCCGTGGTTCTTTAGATGTGACTAGATATTTATATTTTAGATTTGTTTCTCACTGCGCTTCATTTGAAAAAGTACCTTTTGCTGAAAAGCACCATTTTGCTAAAGAGCACTTAAGCACCAGAAGCAATTCAAAGAAAAACTAGTGCACTACCTATGTAGTGTTTTTGGAAGCACCATTTCGGGTCGTTGAGAAAAAGCACTATGTTGGTGTTCCCCTTGGCGAAAGGTGTACTTGGTTGTTTTAGAGTATTGAGAACAGTTCTGAGCATGAGGTTATAAGTATATCGTAGTGCAGTTTTTCTTGGAATTTGACAAGTGCTTTTTATATCAATGGTGTTTTTGCCACACAAATTTTTTCGATGAAACACCCCTTGATTGTTTTCGATGAACATCCCCTTTGATTTCTCTGAGAGAAAAGAGAGAATAAAATATTAGGTTTCGAAAATTGTTAGCAGTGTGATTGGAGAGGCTAAAAAATGTGAGAGTAAAAGATTTATCCAAATTCAAGGGGCTGTTCATCGAAAAAAATTGACCGGCAAAAATCAGCAAAAAGAACAAAAAGAAAATGATTGGAAAACGGACATGTTTTTAAGAAAGCGCTAGTAATTTTCGAAGCACCATTTACGATGAATTTCTAGCCGATAACTACTTATTTCTTGTGCTGATAAACAATCTGTTCTTTCTATCAATCAAATCAAAGTTGTAAGTAAACTAAGCTTAAGAAAGCATGTTACCTACAAGCATGCTTATTATGACATTTTTTAAGGCTTTTAAAAGAAAATGAACATATAAATACATTATATGTATAAAGAAAAAACTCGAAAAAGTAGTAAACTGAATCATGAAATATTTAAATATATCTACTTGATTCTTTCAGCAATGATATGAAATGATTCGTTTATTATATCTACATATGTTTATGTTTATGCACGCATAAATGCCTACTTATAGTCACAAATCCCTTTTGCTATGGAAAGGATTTTTCAAAATACAATTCTTAATGGAAATAGTTATCTATTCTTCCTCATGCCATACTTATCATTAAACATTTCTTTTGTTTCGTACCTAAGTTGGAACAATTTTAAAAAATAAAGAAAAAGAAAAGTTTACATTAAAATTTTCATTCAAATTTGAAATGTTAATCTTATAAAGAATAACAAGAAGTTATATTTATTCTGAATAGGTATTTATTTTTGATTTTTCTTGTTTGATCTTAGTTTCAGGAATAATCGGAAAATTATAAAAGGATTTAAACTTTCTCAAGATAAGTTAGTTGCATTGACTCTTTCCGCATATCAATGCCGTAAATTTTAAACTTTTGTAAATACTGAATGTGAAGTCTTTTCAGTTGTCAAATTAAAAACTTTCTCAATTCTAAGACTCAAAAGAAGAATTATGCTTCAATAAATAACATTGAGAGATATCTCAGAAAGTAATTTGAAATTTGAATTTTGCATTTTCATTATATTTTATTTTTTGTTAAAAACTTTTATAACCATGAAAAGTGTTCCGGTTCCAAGCTACACCAAAATGCGCTTTTTTATAAATATTCAGCTTTAAATATTTTATTTCTTGTAAATTCAGAAGAGTAAAATATTTTTCAAGCTCTTTTTTCCATAAAAAGAATAAAATTTGCTGAAAAATAAAACTTTTCTTATGTTGTGAAGAAGAAAACGCAGAAAAGATGAAAATCTTAAAAAATCAATTCATAGGTCATGTTGATCGAAAGTAATCTGCAGGATATCAGAAGATAAATTGCTTCAATGAATTCATTCCTCACATAAATAATCGATTCTGAGACTTCAGTAAAATATCTGTCAAAAGCTCAGCAACGGAACTGTTTGAGATTTCAATACTTAACAATTAATAGCATATTGTAGACATAGAACCAAAAACTGCAATTTATTATATCTTTTCATAAACTTTCGATATTTTTTTTTTTCAATAAAACTTTCACAGTAACAACAAATAAAGAGAAAAATTGAAATTTCATCATGTCTTGAAAGAATAAATCATTTATCATAAATCAAATACTTAAAAAAAAGCTTAAAATTTTAAATGTTCTGTTGAGTGTGTTCCTTTGTTATCAATTTATTAGAAATATTAATTAAATTGAAGAAAAGCTGACAATATAATAATATTTTTAGAAAGTCATTAAAAATTTTCTATGTCTCTTTCTTTATTAATTATTTCTTATTTTGTATCTACATATTCGAATTTATTCATACATTCTTTCTTTAAATAACGTCATGAACACAATCTCTAATTATTTATTTAATATAATGAAACATCAATTATGAAAATATGAATGATGTGTGCTTTAAAAAGTTTGTTTTCTTTTCCATCTTCATCGTTTTTTTATCTCTGAACTCTTAACGTCAATTCACTTCTGCTTGTTGGATAAATCTGATGCATTAAGCATTAAAGTAAATGTACTCTTGGGATTTGATTTTAATTCCCTGGGATTGCCGTCTTCTATTATCTTTCCATTTTCCATTATTAGGACACGGTCGTAATCAAGAAGTGAGTATAAGCGATGCTGAGTGAATAAGAAAAATAAGAGTAAAGAAGAAAAAACTTAAGCTTTGGAACTATCACAACGAGCATGAATGTTAAATAAAAAGAAATATAATAACTAAAGGAACTCAATTCTCACAGCAATTGTAATTACGGTTTTCCCATTGAATGCTTCATTGGTTGATTTCAGAAAAAGCTTTTCTGTTTCTGAGTCCAAATTGGATGTGGCTTCATCAAGAACTAGGCAAATTGATCCTTTGAGAACAGCGCGAGCCAAGCAGAACAGTTGACGTTGTCCAAAGCTTAAAAAGGAATCACTTTCGCTAAATCTCGTGTCTGTAATGAAGCTTGATATTAGAGTCTTTCGCAATTAAGTTAATGGATATTTTGAAATTTACCAATTTTATCAGGCAAAGAAGCAACCACGTCTTTTAGTTGGACTTTTTCTAAACAATTCCATAACTCCATATCCGAAAATCGACCATGCGGATCCAAATTTTCTTTGATTGTGCTACAGAATAAAATTCCATCTTCTTGTGGAATAATTGATAGTCTTGAACGAAGTTCATCCAAGCGAATCGTAGATATGTCAATGTTGTCTATTAAGATCTGACCAGCAGCTATCTCAACCATACCAAATAGGGAGTTGGCTAATGTTGACTTTCCACTTCCCGTTCGTCCGCAAATTCCAATCTATAAATGTGCAAGAAAGAGATGATTTTGCAATTTTATTGAAAAGAGTAAAGGGTCAAATTTTTCTGCTTGTTATTTTCTTATTTAGTATAATAACCAACATAAAATGCGTGGGTAAGTATTCAGGAGAAATCTTTTATTAGTAATGAAGATCTCTTTTATTCTATGGGACAAACAAAACAAACAAAACAAGAAAAAGAAAGGCAAAAACTTTTAATTGGATATTACATGATAATTTACAAAGCACCATTTATATTTAGCTTTTTTTACCCACTTTTTGCCCTGACGGTATGCTCAAGTTTAAATTGTTCACAAAATTTTCATTCTGCGTTGGGTACTTCAAAGTTACGTTACAAAATTCTATATTGCCACATTGTGGCCAACTCTCCGGCAGTGGGTCATCTTTCAAAAAACAAAAATAAATTTAAAATATGAATGTAATAAATGAACGTCTCTGTGATGTGAGGATTAAAGTCAATTGCATATTTACATGTTTCCATAGAATCCTGTTGTTCATGATAACCACTTTCAATGTAATAAGTTATGCGTTCACAAGCTCCGAAATACATTTCCATATCAGCAAATAATTTCACTACCCAATTCAAATAAATTGGAATCAATAGGGTGTATTGAAGAGCTAAAGCAACAAGCGATGCGGACGATTCATTCGGCAGCAAATAACTACTTATCAATGCCGTTTGAACTGCAATAAAAACAATCATTGCACCCAAATAATCCTGCGAAATTTCATTGAAAATGAAACGATTAAAATTGTTTAGAAAATGCAACCATTGTTGCTTTACGACACACATTTAACACATTTATGTTTTTTTTTGTTAAACTTCAATTATCATTGAACACATAATTTAAGCTATCTCATTCGTATCTTACCAATGCAATCCCAAGCCAACGATTACTTGAATTCAGAATGACAAATGCCACATTGTTCGCTTCCATTCGCTTAAAAAGCATTTCCATAAATCTCGATTCCTGATTGTAAGCTCGAATTGTAGTTAACCCAAGAATCGTTTCCGAGAAGTGAGAGATTATTGGAGCACTCGACATGCTTTCAATTCGTTGTAATTCCCTGAAACGACATAAAATAAATGAGAATGACAAGATTTAGTGCAAGAAAATTAAAATTGAGTAATTTAAATAATTTATTGTCAAGTTCACATTATCAGATAGCATTTGGAGGTTAAAGCTCTTGAAACAGACAGTAAGTTAACGAACTGCTATTCCTTTGAGAACATTTTTCTTGTGCCAAAAGATCAAATTATTTAACACCGTTTTCATCGTACCTTGTTGATTGCCGGTAAAACTTTTGGACGATGTAATAAATCACCAAAATTGGCACCGTTAACAGAATGAAGCATTTATTTATTAGGGTGTTAATTAAAATGGCACATGAGCACAGTAGCATAAATTGCAGAAGACGTTGGCTTGTTGTCGCAATTTTCTGAAATGAAAAAACTCAACTCATTGATTAAGATGTTGTGAGTGCGGCAAAAAAATATTTCATTGTCTTATTACTTCTAATTTATCTTTGTTAACACTAAATTTATACGTAGACATAAATGTTTTAATCAAACCTTATCAATGATCGACATATCGTAGTTGAATCTATTGATTATTCGACCAAAGGGCGTTGATTGGAAGAAATGTAATGAGTTACGCATTACAGATTTCACAAGTTCATTGTGAAGTCGTTTCCTTGATCTACTGCCTGCTAACTGTGCTGATGGTGTAGCTATTAAAGCCAATATTATACACAAACTCGATAGGATGCAATATACTTTAAAGTAATAGTTGACCTGAAAGCATATATTAAAGAATCATTATTTAGTTTCACTCTATTTTCAATAAATATTTTCTAATCTAGACTCAAATGAAAAAAAGGATTTGAGATAAAAATTATTAAATATGTAGGTTCAACTAAAACAAACTTTTCTAACAAATATGAAGCCACATAATAATTTAATAAAAACATTTTTATTATCTAACTAGAACATTTTATTTTTAAACGTTTAGATAGCATGTGAAAGTTTTGATATGTGTTTGAAAAATATGCGGAGCGAAAGTTTTGTGGATATCAATTTTTGAAAGTATCTTTTTAATTATTTATGTTTTTATTTTATTATTCGTTCTAGTTTTAGATTTACTGAACAAAGATTTATTCGGTATTTTTTTAAACTGTTTTGAATATAATTTTGCTTTCTTTAAATTTCCATAATTATTTTAAAAAACGAACATACATTTGCTGTATCGTCTATGTCTGTCCAGTCTCGAAGCCAGACGTCTGTGTAAACTTTTAGAGCTTGCCACATAAATGTACTCGTAAAAAATACGAGAAGAATTGGAAACCCACACGCTTTTAAATATAATAAATAAACCCTCGCTGGAATTTTGCCATATCTTCGCTCTTCGTCATACTTTAATCGATTGAGTGCAGATTCATCCTCAAGGTCTGCAAACAAAATAGGAGAAAAACATGAAGAAACAATAAGAGATGGAAGAAAGCCATTGAAAGCAAATAAGCAATCAAGTCGAAATGTTTATATATCGAAATATCTGAAGATTTTGGATAATAACAGCTTGAACACATTCACATTCTGCTTATGACGCGTTCCACGAGTTGATAAGTGTCACGAATCATTTGATAAACATTTCGGTAATGAAAAATCTTCTCATCAAATCAACTCACTAACGCTTTCATCGTCTTCCATTTCTTCTTCAATTCCCATACTGCAACTTCGTTCATGTTCATCACGTTTGGTGATGGTGTCATCGTCAACGTCGACGGAGTTATTTATGGTTTCTTCAGTTTCGGTTATGCTACTACTCGTAATTAAAAGATTAAATAGATCAAAAGCTTTTAATGTTATCTTATAATAAAACTAAACCTTATTGAGAGTGTTTTGTCTGATTTCCTTTTCTCATGATCAATTATCGAATTATCTGTTTGAGATTTTCTGCGCCTTGACGACATTCGACGAAGAAATTTTCTGAAACTTATTTTTCTGTCGATGCTCTTATTAAGAGATAATTCTGAAGCACAATCAATATCTCTTGACTTTAAATAGTCTGATGCAGTAACTGCATTTGGATTAAATTGAACTGGAGATGAAATGTTCCGTGTTAACGGTTCCTTAGTTTTTGCTGACACTGCTCTTGGTTGAAGTGAAACAACTCGAAAACTGTTAGGCTTTTTACGTACTTCTGGCATTTGGTTAAAGTCAAAATCGTTATCATTACACTCATCAATGGGTAATGGTAAATCCGACCATAAACGAGATCCAAACGAGATACTTGATGTCCTTTTGAATGGCGTGTTGTAAATCGAATTATTCTGAAAACGATTCCAAGGCAATGGATGAGAAAGATTAAAGTGCCGTTTATAATTTTGGAGATGATTTAGGAGTAAAGCAATGTAATTCGTTTCTGTTTATCGTTTATTTATGAACCTGGTGTCGCCAAGATTTATTCGCTGGTTAAAAAACAACGTGAATGAAGAAATTTATGGAGAAACTTAAAAAAACATTTAATGAAGAAAGATTCTGAGTAAAAGTAAATTTAACTAAATCATTTTTTCTGAATTTTTTTTTTCGAGATCGATAGAAGTCACGACATGTGATTAATGATTAAATGAGTGTTAAGTGAATTTAAAATGATGGTCCAGAAGTCGAGAGAAAACCATAAAATATCAATTAAAAGCTACTTACCGAAGACAAATTATCTCTCTCTGGTGAGGGTCGTTGTTGCAATAAACCAATTCGTGAAATGTTTTTGAATAGTTTCCATCGTTCTCTTGCACTTCGTCCTATTGGACTGTGGAAATTTCAAGCATAATTTATTGATTGTGCAAAAGTAAATATAATGTTTAATAATAATCTTTTATTTATGGACGGTAAAAGCTTTCCACAACAATATTTAATCATATTAAATCATTACCTTAATTGACTTTCTTTGGCATTCTCCTTGGCAATCGCCAAATCCCATTCACGAATTATTGCCGGATCCCTTTCTTTGACTTGATTCATGTCCCCGCTTACTCGAATTTTCAATTTTTCCATTGCAATCAGCTTTCAAATAGAATTAATTGCCGATAAACTTAATTAGTTCATATTGTTGCTTAAAGTCAAAGTTAAAACAAATTTTATGTTGAAAATTTTAATTCGAGTCAATAATTGGCAAATCTAAGTTCGATTTTCGGAGTGACTCTTAGAAAAAATTCAATAATTCTGGACTCACATAATCGGCATTATACACTAGTTGAGTTTTCTGAGTCACGAGTATAATTGTCCGTTTGTATTTGGCCAGATTCAGCTTTAGGCATTTCTCTATTATCCATGAAACGACTTGATTATCGAGCGATGATAATACATCATCCTGCAAACAAAGTTCAATGAATATTTATTTGTTTATATATCGTTAAACATACAAACCAAAATGATCACATTTGCTGAAGAATAAAAAGCTCGAGCAATGCATATTCTCATCTTTTGTCCACCAGATAAAGTCATTCCCCTCTCACCGACTTGTGTTAAATCCCCGTTGGACATTATCTCGATGTCAGATTTCAAAGCACATGATTCAATTACCTCTTCGTAGCGTTTTGGACGGTATGATTCACCAAAGAGAATATTATCACGAATGGTTCCATTCACCAGCCAAGGCTGTTGCCCTGCATAAGCTATTGTTGCATATCTGCATGGAAGGTAAATAAATTATTGAGATGGAAATTCAATCTTATTTTAAATTGATAAATGAATAGAAGAAATTGATTTATCTCACTTATTCCACTCAATGTTACCCGACTCTATATAATTTTCTTTTAGCAAAGCAGCAACAATAGAAGATTTTCCGCTTCCACTCTTCCCCACAATTACCGTCAAAAGTCCTATGAAGTCGAGAAAGTTTAGAATAATATTAAATTTTATCTCACGTGGTGCAAAAATAAAAATTTAATTTTATGTATCTTTGTTAAAATTTTGGAATTTGCTTGATTATCTATCGCAAAACTCTTCAGAGCTCTAAAAATATTTCAATCAATTTAAATTAATGAATAATCTCGAATGTATACAAATTAGAGTTTCATGTTCACAGGCTTAGATGATAAATAATCAAAATTATTTTTTTTATTGAGTCATGAATTATATCTAAATAATTATTTTAATTGCAAAAACGATTAGGTTTCTAACGTAAATATTTGTTTTGTTGGAAATTAACAGGCAACAGACGTTTTAGTGAATAAATGCCTGATATTTCAATTTTTTTCAATAAACCTCCCAGTCATTTCATAGAAAAAAATTTTAATCTATTTACCTTTTGGTATTGAAAGGTGATTTATCTCGAAGATATTTGAATCATTTTTTTCTGCCCATTTAAATCGAGCATCTTTGATACAGACGATAACATCTTCCGGAACGTTAAATTGAGGGTAAGGATTCATCATTCTAAAGCCATCGGCGGTTGCATGCTTGTCAACAACTGTTGTTGATTTTAATCGATTACGTTCCACTCGAATACTTGGGCTTAATTGATTCTGCTTCTTCAATTTGGTATTGTAATTCTTATTTCGCAGAATTACAATCTCATCATCCTCTTGTCTGTTTTTCAAAATATCTAAACAATCGGCCTCGTCTCTTTTACATTCAATCTCGTCCGCTATAAAGTCGATTGAATGCTGAGCGACATTGACGTCATGGTCATTAATTTTAATTTTCATCAATAAATTTTCATCTGATTTCGTCTTATCGCGCGTGAATAATTTTATTGGAATTTGTCTTGGCTTATCATCGTCATTTTCATCATCTTGTTGTTTTCCTTTTCCCGATATTTTGCCTTCCTCATCAAAAGACTCGCAGCTTTGAGACGTACAAAGAATTCTTGCCATATTTCTCACACCGTCAAACTCTTTTTCCATTTCTGTTTGTGATAAAAATTTTTTGATTCGTTGAGTGCTAATTAGAGAACTGATAATGATTGGGATTGTAATTGGAAAAATAAACAATGGAACCGTTAATTGGTTGAATAAAGCGAGTGACGCAAAAACATTTCCGGCACTAAATTCAACGCTGTTATCATTCATCAAAGTGTGGCTGGCAAATGTTACAAGTGTTATGAGAATACTTGAAATTTGAGTTAAGAATGCTGAAATAGAAAAAACACAAAATCAAAATTAAACTTTGTAATTAAACTTGAGAAGAGCAGGGCAAAGTAGAGCTCCGGCCGCGTAATATTATCTGAAAAGGGCGAAAATTAATTAACATAAATACAATTAACATTATTTTTCTTTCTGATACTTATAGAAAAATAAGAAAGAAAAAATAGCTTTCATCCCCAAATCAGATTGTTTGCTTTTCTTTAAGCCGCTTTCAAGAACAATGACAATATTTAACAAACAAAAACAAGATGCGGCAAGTGCGTGAACAAATTAACGAAGCAGTTTTTGATTGCTTTTCCTTTCTCCGATTAAAAATGTTTCACATTAATCTTCGTCATGACAATGTCGTGAGTAATTAAAATTCATCGTAGGCTATTTGCTTAGCACAATTGGATTTCCCAGTAAGGTTGAAACCTTTTCAGAATTATAAAGTAAGCAGTCGTTACTATTATCATAACAAAGGCGTTAGACAAGTATTTTAGGAGCAAAACTTTTGAACTTTTAAAGCCAACTACACTTTTAAATGATGTTTGCTTTAAACTTCATACATTCCCTTTTTGTGAAGACAGAAATAAGAGGGTAAGGAATAAAAGCGGATTTGATTCTACTGATGTGCTTGAATGAAGTTAAAATATAAAGCTTAAAATTTTGTTGCCCTATTTTTCCTTTTCGAGATTTCGCCTATCACTTTTCATAAAGTTTAATGAAAAGTTGCTTTACTTACTCATCAAAGTCCAATAAAAAGCATCAATATTTAAGTAATGTAATTCTTCTTTCCTACAGTCAGCAATTTTATCTGTGAAAATACTCTCCCAAGCATTGAGCTTAATGAGCTTTATGCGAAAAAATATTTCACGAATTTTCTTCAAACGTTCATCGGAGCTTTTCTGGTTGTATTTTTTTTAATTCCAATGGTTGCAGAAAAATGTAAAAATAAGAAAAAAGAAAATTTAATTACATTTTATGTTTCCTCTACTCACAATTACAACTCGCATATAACGCCCGCATATCATCGAGGAAAGAGAGAAAAGAAAAAAAGTTTTGTAAGAAAATTTATGCAACAGAAATGATAAAAAGCATGAAAGATGAAAAACTCGCCGAATTAATTGTGAAACTTTTCAAATTGAAAGAGAGGATAAAAAAATGTTTAAAAAAAAGATATTTCGTTTGAAAGAATCCTAAATAATAAATTACTTTTTTTGGGTGGAATTTTTCAGCATCTGTAATTTTTCATTCTTTTTTCTTTCCAAACACAAAATGATGATAACAATAGAAATAAAGCAATGCGAAATCTTAAAAACCGTCCACTTACCGCTCCTTTTTCCGAATTCTGTGACATCTTACGACCCACGAGGAATTGTAGTGGCAACATCATGATAATAGTAAAAGCAGATCCAATTAGAGAACTTAAACCAAGCTTCAAGTACAAACAGAAAACAACGATGATGATCTGAAACAAAGGGAAAGGGCGTTTTTAAAAGAGTTTCTTTCATGACTATAACTTAGATACAAACAAACTAAAGTGAAGTGATGTGAAGTGAAATAAAAAAAGCCGAGATTATGTCTGTGCGACTAACTGTGAACACTTCATCATAACATTTACCTTCAAAGGAATTGACCATATATAATGACAGATCCAGAAGAATGTCATTACGTTGATGGAATCTTCTGATATAAGATTTGTGATTGTTCCAGGGTTATTTAAATTGTAATCATCGTCATTTGGGTCGCCATCTGTGGTCTCACCATTCTGTCTTCTTGACGTCACGTAGAAACAACTGGAGCTTAATGAAAGCGTTTTGCGATAAATTAATCCCTGTAATGCATTTTTAATTCTTATTCCTTCCATGTTGATTATATTTGTAGAAGCTTGAGAAAATGTTCCTTGTAGTAGAAACGCGATTAAAACAATGCACGACATTATCCATCCGTTACCAATGAAGTCTGACCAGTCAGGATAGCTTTTAAATAACTTTAAATAAGCTTCTTTGATTGCTTTCTTATCAGAATCATTATTTTTATCAAGATCATCGTTGATAGTTGTTGAATTTTGTGAACTTTCTAGAAGTTCTTGTTGGCTTTGAGATGAAAGCTGCAAATTAATGAACTCAACAATGTATGAGATAGATAATGGTCCGACCAGTCCACAAACATCACCGAGTAGTTTGAAAATGCCACTAACAATAAACATTTTCCAACAACTTTTCAGGTAGCATGTCCACAATGGCACTTGCTTGTGCTGCAATATGAAAATGATAAATAAACTTGATGAAAATGGAAAGTATGAATTTCATTTAAAGTTTCAACATTTTTAGATTGCTTCACTTCATGTATTATTATTTCTTCAACAGTATGAACAAGTCTACAACATTAGTCTTAACTTAATAGAATGAACTTGAGTTACTCGCTGATCAGAAAGAAACATTAACATGATGGTTTGCTTGTTTGTCAATGAAGCACTTTCTTTCTTTGCGGAAGATCAACCAACATGAAAACATCTCATAGCACACGAAAAAGGACAAAAAGGAAAACAATGAAATAAAAATAACAGTTGCATGAATATTCCATTGTCGGTTCCGCTTTTTCCATTTTTATTGTCTCCATTCACATGAAAATTCTTACTGAAACGAGTTCTACTAAATAAATAAGGAAAGTTTTAAAAGCACAAAAAAACTTAAATACACATCCGATATATTTCCCCCTACAATCCTTGCTTCTGGTACTTTTCATTCTTGCTTGAATTAGCAACAACAATTTACTAGGGTGCACTTTGATAATGTTTCATCTTTAGAGAACAGAATGTAAAAAAATCCTTCCGATGTTTCTAAAGATTTGAAGCATAAAGAACTGTTTTTCTTTTGTACTACAAAATGCATAATCAAAACATAAAAAAAGCATGTTGAACCAAATTGTTTTGAAGTGAAAACAAGCGGTTTTTATACCAGCTTAAACTTAAATGAACATACTTATCATGAACAAGGAGAGAACATGAATTTGAAAGTTTAAAACAGCAGTGGAAGGAGAGAAATAGTTTATTAAAGGATCATGAACGAGAAATAATTCAAGATGAAATGGAATAGAGCCAAAAAGAACGTAACTTTTATTTCGTTCTTAAAATCGTAATATCAATGTGAAATTAAAATTTCATTTCCTTTGCTGTCTCTGTTGACTTAGAAGCGACGTTATCTATACTATGTAGTTCGAAATATTAAAAATTTACTGTAAACTTGAAAACTCTTAATCTTCTTGACAAACTTGAAGCCTGTCATGTTTTCATAAAAGGCGTTTTTGCTATGTTTTGTTTTTATTTATTTTGATACCAGTGGAAGGAAGGGAAAACATTTATCAAATAGAATTAGACGAAATGGAAGACTTAGTAAAAATGAGGTTTTATTTCGTTTTGTGGATTTTCTCACCTTAAAGCTTTGATAAATAAACAAAAACTGGTCATAATGATAACGACTCGTATCTTTTTCTGACAAGTTGCCAAGATCGTCTAGTTCAAGTGGTTTACGAAAGCCTTTGCGCAGTAATGAAATCACCCACCAAAATGTTGCTTTTGATAACAGACTTGAATAAGGATTTTTATAATTCACATTTTCTTTCGAGAGTAATGTTGGATCGCAAGATTTTGATGTTATTTTTGTTGAGTTCTTAGAATGTAAAAAGAAAAAGAATATCAGATTAGATGTCAAAGTTTAGGTTGCTAGTATCGCATTTTAGTTCTTTTGAAAAATGATCTTCAAAAATTCACCTCAAAATATATTGTAGTCGTGTCAACAACACAGAGTCCAAGTAGGATGAGTAAAGAAAAGGTTTCGTTAATAAAACCTAAGCTTGTTTTACTTGTATATGTTAAAAAGAAAAGCCACTTCCAAAGTCTGAGCATCACCAAAATAAACTCTATGAAAAGAAAAAATTACTGACATAGTTTGTAACAAAATCTTAAGACTAACTAACAAAACACCATGCAAAAATCTTTGTAAAAGCTACCAAAAACATCTTCAATACTTCTTCTCACTTCAAGTCGGAAAGTTAATTTTCTTCACGACAACATTGTCATCATAAATCACGTCGAAGAAAACGTTTTTTTCCCATTAAGTCGACGTCTAAACATTACCTGCTGATAGCACTGCGTATATCCATCGAAGAGCTAGTGTAAACGAAAGAAGAGAGAAAAGCAAATTAAACAAAATTTAACTCATTAGAATAAATAAATTTGCGGTCATGAAACTCGCTTTCATCAAACACTCTTGGAGTAATTAAAGCAAAACTTTTGCTTATTGCTTGTGAAGAGTGTTGAGCAATTAAGATAATGTGATTTGAAGTCGTTGAACGATAGCAATTAAAATTTTCTTGTCGGTGATCCCAAAGGTTCTCAACTTTTTCAAAGGATTTATAGACAACACAACAAATAAAACACTTGTTTTTCTACCTCTTACGATGTTTACACTCACGGAAGAAACATTAAATTTTATGCAACCAACAAATATACACAAAAGGATAATTAAACAAAAACATACTCCCATTATTGTACTAAGCATAAATTTTAAACATCACATAAAACATACATATACGTCGTAGATATATGATTATAACTTGTTTGTTTACATGAAAACTCTACAGTTTTTTAGTTGAGGTAGGCAAGAAACATGATTAATGCTTAAAATTGCATGGAAACCTTTAAATTCTTCCAAGCTTGAAGCAGAGATGAAAACACAAACGGAAAACATGAGAATTACCTAATAAAGTGTGAATTGCAATTAAAATTTTATCATTTTGATTATAATTTATCCTACAGCAACGTAAATGATTCAAGCAAATATGTTGTAGGCGTTAAAAAAAGTTGGAAAAAAGGTTGTAATCAGAAAATTGCGGAACTTCATCAAATTTTTAGCTTTTTCAAATGTATGAACAAAAATTATCGCTAGAGATAAAAAAGGAAAAAAGTTTGAAAAAAAAGCTATGTATAAGATTTAGGCAATTTCTTAGCATATTTTTCCCGCACCTCTACGCCTCTATGGAAAATTTCTGAAAATCGTGAAAAACCAACCAAGTAAAATTAAAAACTTTTGATCGAAAAATTGTTTTTTTTTGAAATTTAAAAAATCAAACATGATTTTCCGAAAATATTCCACAATTTTCTGAAGTCTCCATGCGTTTGGCGTAGGAATTCAAATGTAAGAAAAATGTGCCACAGAATTTGCTATTTTCTATTCCGCTATTTTCTGTCTAGAACCTTATTTTTAACGTTTACTGGATTCGAAAAAAATGATCAACGATCGCTTGATGTGTCGACATATTAACACCACATTTCACTAAATTTGATGAAATCATTCACGTGAAAGCTGTGGAAAAAACGATGAATCCCATTTGTTTATCTAATAATTTTTATGTTGTGATATACATATATGTGTGTGTACGTACAATTAAAATTGTAATTAATGTTTTCAACAGTGCTTTATTTGTAACATTACTGAGATGAGTGAGGGTTGATTACTATACACATGATACAGTAAACAATTTATGTATGAAATATTCATTTTAACATCTCACCTGACACAGACTTCCGAATTTCAATGAGGCGTAACAAAATTGCCATAGATGTGATTGATAGGAAGAAAAACAAAGCACTTTCAATGGTTAGAGAAACTCCTTTGCCATCTATTTTAGCTCGCAACAAAAATCCACATCCAATTTCAGTGACACTTGTCAAGCATATTGCAAACAATAACACTCCCCGTAATTTATGTAATCGCAACAATGTCCTATTGGAAAATAAACACGTGTCACTATAGTTTACTAATTTATTCCTTTTAATTTCTTTATTTTGCACTATGTTATTATTTATATGTAGGTAACATGACGTTATTCAAATTACTCATTTCAAAAATATAAAAGTCGAAAAATCATTTGCAATTTGCAAGTAAAGATTTTTAACATGACCTAAATATTCAACATTATTTTTTTCTCAGTTTTTTCCTTTAATGTTTGAGACATTGTATCTTTTTTCATACAACATTTAATGTAATTTTTAATTCATGATATTTATTTGAAAAGGTATAAGGTTTTTATTTGGGTATTTTGTGTTTTCTTTGTTTCATTAACCTAACACTTAACCACAGACCTCCACATCCTTGAGCCAAAATTTTGAATAAAATAAAAATCATCTCACATAAAGATCATCACAGCCATTGGCTATTCAAAAGCGAAGAAAAACCAGTTCTTTCTTTTATCTCTGTCGGTGCAAATATTTTTCCACATTTTTTATATAAACAACATGCAGATGAAATTGTAAACAGAAAAAGTTTTCTCGCACACCAGATCTTCTCTTTATTTTTATAGAAATTTCCTGGGAAGTTTTCATTTCCACTTCTCGTAATCTATTCCAAATATTTGTTTGCTAATTCATTTTAATATTGAAATGGTAACAATTCCATATTCTACAGGTGATATTTAATTGTTCGTGCATTACATAATCTAAGTACACTTTCATTAATTTATTCCTCCTACATCGTTGATTATTTATATTGATTAATAACTTAAGTTTTAATTTCTTTTTATTATGAGAAAATAGCAAAAATTTAACAAGGAATCATTAATCCGTATAATAATTTGTAAATTAATTAATTTATATGAAATCAATTTCTTAAAAATTACTTGACCGTTGATACTGGAATCAATTTGATTAAAACTGAAGCACAAACAATATTCGCAACTATGCTTATAGTGCTAATGAATGCTATTAAAAAATTCACAATGCAAAAACCATATGTTTGATCTTTAACACAGAATTCCATGGCTGTAGGAATTAAATTTTTTATTAATTTTAAGACCTATTAAAAACAATTTTAAAGAATTCAAGATAATGAAACAATCACTTTGAAGCTCAAAATCAGACTGTGAGAAAACTGGAATAAGCTCCAAAATATTTTAAATGTTTACATTAGAAAGGTTTGTTTAAGCATACAACTAAGGATTCTCTTTTTTGTTCGTGTTTATTCTGCTTTACCGGTAACAGCTGGTCTTAATTTTTTAGATAAAAGTGTGAAAATTATTTATGAATAGTTTTCATTGATGTACATATTTATATTTTTCCTCATGGTCGTACAGAATTTATTGGTAATGACAATTCTGTTCACGATTATGTAGAAAATCATCTGACGATTTTTAAATAATAAACTGAGTTTCATACTGGTACAACAGATTTTTATTCAACTTACTAAATTGTCTTGAACGTTTTAACTTGAGCTAGGTATTTAACTTTTTTAATTGTAAAACTTGTCAAAAGACAGTAGCATAAAATAGTAGCATGTTACTTCAGTTTAAAAAAAATTTCATTGCCAATTGATGGTCTGTTTTTGTATATTATCTATTTTATTTAATTTTATTATTTATTAATCTTGTAACTACGGTAATAAAATTAAATTTATTCTTTTATTTGTTATTTCCCATTAATACATTTTTCTGGTGAATTTTTCAGAACAATTTTTAATTAATCTTGTTTGATATGATATCATTATATTCTAACAAAACGCTTAAAAAACTAATTTTCTTTTTAAATTGAAGCGTGGAAACGCATGGTTCGTATTTTGCAGATATGTTACCTAAAATATCCTCAAAGAGATGCACGAATTTATAAGGTGACTACCTAGAACTAACTAGTCCCTTAAATAAAAGCTTTAAAGTAGAAAATATCTACAAGGAAATAAGATAATACGAAAAGACATTATGATGTTGTATATCTAACATAAAGTAGTCTTCAAGTTACTAATAATTACATATACCTAATTCTTTCTTAAAACAAGAGGATTTTCCATATTTAAATTTTTTATAATCCTCCATATATAGGTCCGTAATCATTCTGAAATTATTTGATTTCTATGAAAAGAGAATTTGAAAATAAATTTTTTAGAGAAATGGGTCATATGTTCTTGATTTTCATGTTTTAAAAGTTTGTCATAAAAGTTGGCTATTGAAATGATTTTAGTTTTCAATTGAATAAGTTGTATTTTTAAACAGTTTCACAAGATTATAAAACTGTCATTAAAATTTTAAAATTTTATTGAATACTCTAGCGGGAAAAATGTTTACTACGTAGTGATATTTTTTTTTTCTAAAAGATTTTTTAGCAGATTTCTTATTTCTATTTTGTAATTTTCTAAAAATGCTTTCACCAAACTCTAAAACGACAGTCGAGCAGAAAATAAAAGCAAGAAATTGCGCACTTCTATTGAAAAATGGTAGTCCAAAATTAAAAACTCTTCTGCGCGAGGTAGGAAATTCTCAAAATTTAAACTACATATCACGAAAATTACAAAAATAAATCCTTAGAGATGTCGTTTAAGAATGAAGGAATCAAGAGAAAATGCTTTTTCCTCTTCGAGAAATATTACAATCGAACGAAAGGTAGTAAAGCTTATTTTAAAATTAAATTCAACAAATGTAATATTTCGGATTTCCCTCCAAAATCATTTAGCAACTAATCACGACAATCGTTAACGAAGAACTTGCACAACAAATTGATGATGACATCGAACTGCACGATATTATCTTGAAGGAAATTTTAAATAATTGGGACGAATGGCAGAATGAAGAATTTGAAAGGAGCATGGATTACATGATGAATGCTGATGACGAGAATCAAGTTTTTTGTCCAATTTGTGAATGCAACTTGTTGACTCTACAAGAAAATATTATTTCGTGTTGCTGCGGATTAAGGTAAATCCATTTTTTCTTATATATTATTAAATTTCATTCCTCGTTTTTAGACTTTACTACCCAAAAACACTACCTGAATTCTACGACAAGATTCAAGCCAGCATGAATGTTCATGATCAACAGAACTGCTTCGCGAAGCTTCAGTTTTACACTGAACCGAAATTCGGCTTCAATGTTCTCGCTTTAAATGCTATTTGTACCGTTTGTGATTATTATTCGCCAATTCTTGAACTCATATAACGTAGACTGTTGATAAATATATTTACATACATAAATTGAAATGCTGTGGATATAATTGAAGCTTGAATTGAGCCACTAATATTTAAAAGGGCTGTTTACTCCTAAAAAATATCATTCTTGCGCCCTGAATCAGTTCGAAAAACTAAGAAGTTACATTTAAATGTCCTGTCAAATCTCTTTGAAAGTACCAAAAAATAAAAAAAAATCCTGACATTATTTTGTGTTTCAAATGTTTCCTTGATGTTGAATAATATTTTCTTATAAAAAATTTTCAACCCTCCACAGAGTAAGTCTTAAAGGAACTGTTGAGCACATAAATTAGGCAATTCCCTGTAAAAAATTGTGTCATAAATAAATTATCTGAAAACATAGATTAACAACAAATAATTTTGTGAATGCCTTCCTGACAATTTTTATGTTTTTATTATTATTTCTTGTTTTCAGATTAATAAGGCACCGAATATTTAAAAACTCCAATACATCCATCAATTTTCAGACATTTTAAATGAATCAAAAAAATCTAAAATTATCCTTTATCTTGAATTAAGTTAGACATGTGCAATATTTAACAATAACATACATATTTAGAAGATAAAATTCAAAGATTAATTAAAAAAAGAAAATTTAATAATGATTGTAACAATTTAAATAAAAAATGAGTTTAATCCTTATCTTGGATTTTCATGAAGTCGTGGCCTGGCATTTTTAACAGCTTTGATAACTTCATCTTGCAACGATGTTGGGTTGTCAGATAAAATATCTGTGGTAGTCGAAATTTCCCTCAATTTATTAGACACAGCTAGAAATTATTAAATTGAAAATTTTTATTATAAAAGAAAAACGTAGTGAAATCGTGAAAATTAACCTGGTCGAACTTCCATTAACGAACAATTATTGTCAATCCATAACATTGTAGTACGTCTTAGTTCATCCATGCTAACAGTTGACACAGTTGAGTTGTATGAATTTAAAAGTGGCTCAAAAATCTGGCCAAACTAAAAAGATTAATGTTAAATTTTAAACATGAAAATTTCTTTTATTGCTAAGAAACACTCACAATCCAAAACTTCCAGTTTCCCATGGTTTTCAAAATAATGTAATCTTGATAAAGTTCCCGAACTCTCCCAGTACGCTGTCGTGACACTGGTGCCCCGTTCGCCGGAAGTGAGTTTTGTAAATGACTAAAGTTTTGTAGTATAATTATTTACAATGTTTATAAATTTATGTAACTTTTTAACTCACTTTAATGAATTCGTTAACTGATCAATTTCCTTTCGCAATCCTTCCATTTGTTCGCCCATTGATGCACGTTCCATTCGAAGTTGCTTGATATATTCAGCTCCTTTTTGAAGCATTGAAGCTTTACTTAACTAAGAACAAAAAGAAACGATTAACTAATTGAATTATTTTCATTTTAATTGAATATTTACCTTAGCATTAGGATTCTGTTGCAATTGAGGGATTAAGCTATGAAGCATATCAAATCCATTTTTAATATTATAACGCCGTTTCTGCTCAGCATGAATATGGCCAGCACGTCGCTGATTATCTCGCGGATGAAATTTATTTAAACTTAAGCATCGCTCCGGTGAATGAGATGAATCGTGTGTATCTTGAAATGCTGAATCTGGTGATAAAGTCGGTGTATAAATGCCAGAACCGCTTGGCATTTGTGTAGAACTACTCGTTTGAGTTTTTTGCTGCTGTCCACTGATGGCATTTGTAGCCAAAAGAATAGAGTTTTGTACTAAAGAAGATGATGTAAAGCTATTAGCTCTTACTGGCTGGTGAGGTACTGACCCAGACATGGCACTCGATGATATGCTGTGAGCTTTTGTATTTTTTAACAATGATGGCGAATTTGTAAGAAGTTGAGCTAAAGCACTGTTATTAACATTCAAAGCTGGTTCACTTGTAGCTGATTGAAGTGTTGGCATCACCAGCGGAGTATTCCTCAAATTCACTGCGCTATTTCTTCTTTCTTTTTTCGAAGCTTGAAGATATTTTGGAACAGCAAAATTATCACCAACTGCAACTTCATTCGGGCAAATTTGAATATTGGCATTTATCGGTAAACTATTTGAACGATACATTTCCTTGATAGCAGCTGCTGTTGCATTCTGTTGTTGGAAACTCATCGATTTTCCTATACCACTAGCAGATCCACCAATATGAGGCGGCGATTGTTGACGCATCATTATTCGACTTGTCGCGTTAAATCCTGGAGTTTGAGATGGAATCTTATATGGTTGCGTTCCATGATGATAACGATAACTCGGACTTTGTGGTGATTTGTATGAATCATGTGTGTTATGATTTGTTAGCGGTTGTTGTTGCTGCTGCTGTTCCATTGATATTTGGTTTGTTTGTTGCATCATCACTTTATTGTTAAAATTCGTCATTTGATTATTTGACAAATTAAGAACATTTTGTGTTGTCATCATTGAAGCAGGTGATGGATTAAAATTATTTGCTGTCGTTGTTGTTTGTATTGTTGATATGTGACTCATGTTAGAAAAGTCGTTAAGATTCTCTCCATAAACATTATTATTGTAAATCTGTGCATTTTCTTGTTGTGCAAGCATTTGATTATAAATTGTTGTTTGATGTGGCGTTGGTTGACATTTATCATAGTTATGTGGTTCACGTTTTCTATTTCATTTATTAGTTAAGTTAGATTGTAAAAAAAAAATAAAAAATAATATCTTACGGTAACTGATTTCTCAAATATCCTCGAGGATATTTTCCTTTAAAAGCTTCTTTTTCATCAACATCTACTGATTGTGTTATCATTTGTTCAGACGTTGATTGTTGCGCTTGTACATTCATTGTAATGTCCCCAGAAATGAAGGGAACTAAATTTGTTATCATTCTTTGCGACGATGATTCGTTGATTTGCTGGCGATTTTGTTGCATTTGTATTATTTCCTGCTGCTGTTGTTGATTACTTTGAGACATATCTTGCGAGTAAATAGTGGCTGTAAAGAGAAGTGGATTTGCGTTTGCTGAGTTTTGATGTTGATTTAAATTCAAAGCTGATGTGCCTTGAATGACAGATTGTTGCACATTTGATGAATTTGTCGTCATTATATCCTGCATATTGGATGTATCCATGGATCCTTAAATAATTAATAAATATTCCAGGTTTATACAACATCATCCATTATCAGTATCATTAAAAAATAAGATTTTTTACCAATCATCGGAAATTCAATAGCTTTCAAAAGCTCTTCAGTCTGTTCTTCGGGAACCGGCGCTAAACGATTGTTGGTTAAAGAATTAAAAATATCTGAAACAGTAAGCACAATAAATAAGTTTCCTGAAACTTGTATTAAAAACAAATTAAAATTCTTGTCACCTAAATCAAAGTCCATAAAATCTTCGAAATTCGGTTGAAGTGGACCGAGGGAAGGTTGAATGAAATCAGCTCGTCCTGCACGTGCTGCAATCATTTATGAAACAAACGGTTAAATATTTTATATTCTAATAGATTTAAGTAAATTATTTTACCTATTTCTCTCGAATCAGGAAACGGAAACTGTGAAATAGTTGAGAAGAGCGTATCGCTGGACATATTATCCGATAACATTAACAAGTTATCGTTATTTGACCATTCTAAAGTGTCCAACTCACTTTTCTATATGAAAAAAAAATAATAAAGAATAGCGAAAGAGAGAATATTTTACTTGGATAATCAATAAAATCTTTTAATTTAGGTTCAAGTTGTTGAAACCAATTTTGATTGAACTTCC